TTAAATAAATAATTTTATGTTTATATTATAGTTAAAATATATAATAAGTATATTCCATTCAATTTTTGTATATTTAAAAATTTAAATGGAATTTTAAAGGGAAAAAAATTTAGGTACATTATTTAGGTAAATTAATTTTTCAACTCATATATATAAAAAGGTTTCTACCTCCTTCTTCTCTTTTAATGATATTAAGACCTTAAAGGACTGACAAATAATTAGGAAAATATATAAATTTTATATGTACTGCTTAAATATTTGTAATTATAAATTTTATCAAATTTTTATTAAAAGAAAAGGAAGTGCCTGTTAATATCTTACTTATAGAAAATACAATGGTCGTCTATTAAAATGCAAATTTAACATCATACTTAATTAATTCAGTAATTAAAATTATATTGCTGAATAATTCAGAATTGACATTGGACTTTATTTTCTCAATATTGATAAATAGTTGATTAATTATTTGAAATTTAATTGGAAGGAAATGTGCTATTTTAGAAGTCATTTAATTTAATTTGAATCTATTAATTCTGTTTTTCATTATTCATATTTATTTTGTTAATAGGTTTACATTTTAATTTTAATTTCCAATTATATTTTCTATTAATGTATTCTTTTTCAAGGATATTTTACCAATAGTTTCCATGTTTATGAATATGAATTCACATACAAAAAAAAAATCATTAATTTGAATTTTCCGTAATTAAAATAATTTAAAAGAAAAATGAAAAAGTATTTCTCTGCCACCGTAAATAATATTAAACATATTAAATATCCATTGCTTATAGAAATATTTTACAAGTACATGTAATTACCAGGTTATTTGTATAATAGAATACGAATGTACGTATATATACAGACTATCTACATAAATTATACCTTTTGAATATTTTTGAAAAACTCCAACTTATAAAATAAATTCCTGTAACAAGCAACAACATTTTAATACTTCAAATACTTGTATAACAATGGGACTAATTAAAAATTAAAACAAAATAAAGCCTGAAATACTATAAGATACTAAAACAAAACTAATAAGCACATTTGTTTTTAATTATTGTTGTTATACATTATGTATAAAATATTGAAAATAATAAGCTCAACAAAAACAGGTCATTATTCTAAAAAAACTTTTATTTAAACATACTGTCCTAACTAATAACCTAAACATCTCTAATAAACAAAAACCAAAATTACAATAAAGTAAAAAACAGAAACTCAACAAAAAAAAAAAATAACTCATTGCTTAATATGGCATTGACCATATCCAAAAATGGTCTATTGTTATTTTATATTTTTTACCTTGTCATTTTTTCCTATGTATTTAATAACTATAATGAAAGAAATAAAAAACAAAACACATACATAATTCAATGGCAATCACCTAAACTTTTTGCTTCCAACTCTCATCATGCATATACTCGTACATATGTATATACAAGATTATTATAATAAATTAAAATATTTCTCTTGATCTATTATTATTTAATTATATAAATGTTCCGTATATCGTATGTAATTTATAAATATATCGTATATCGTATATCGGGATGTCCGCGACTCAATGGAACTCCCAAAGCACGGCGATAGAATACCTCTAGACGAGCAAAACACGTCTAGTGATATTTGTAAAAAATTGTAGTTAACACATTAAGTAGAGTACTGCTGTAATTTTAAAGTAACGCCTACCTTTTTTTATGCTTTCCTTTTTTAGTTGATTTAAAATTAAGAAACGCACAAAATCTTTCAGGAAACTATAGGTAACTAAGAAAATTTGCATTAACATTTATAAATTGCCAACGAGAAAGATTAATTTTTTCTAAAGATTAAATAAATCTATGGAAAAAATAAAAAACAAAATGTGTTAGGAAAAAAAAAAATTATTTTTTAAAAAATTCAAATTTTTATCGTACAAACAGATAACAAAAATGTTTTCGGGTAGGGTATAAAAAGTCAAACAAAGACCAGAATAAGATATATAAGAAAATAATAATAATAACGACACAATAAATAGCCTGATGGCAGCGACCTCACTTTAAAAACTATTTTTTGATTATTTTATTTTCAATTTTTCCTTGTCTAAGAAAATATGACAATTTCTGTACTAAATTTTTGTTATATCGTTATATTTTGTTTATTAATTCATTTCATATACAGCAATAGAGCACAGAATACGTATAGACATTCATACGAGTACATATACATATGTATATATTATAATATCGTATTTTGTGTCCATAAGAACTACAAAACTCGCGTAATCAAAACTTGCACTTTTCGAATAACCGAATTTTAAAATTATAGAGTTAATACATTTTTTATCTTATAGCATTACTTTATATTTATGTCTAAAAAAACTTAGAAACTGTATTTTTTGAGTTATGTCACTTCAACATTGACAACGAATGAGCGACAGGTACACACATTTGTATATTATCACAAAATCATATGGATGTCACGTTGCTACCTGCATCGCGTATGATTGATTGTGTATGTGTTTTAAGAAATATTCGATGTTTTTTATTTTGTTGTTTTATTTTTTTTTTTTAGAATCACAGCCGATTCTTCCATATTTTATTCACTTTGGCAATGTTTGATAAATCAAATTGTTGGCTATAATACAATACGTTTTTTTTATTTCTCGATACCAGGGAACACCATCGTTTACATGTGAATTTACAAACGAGATATTTAAAATAATGTTTTTAAAATTAAAAAAGAATTTAATTTAATAAAATTTTAATAAAATTACGATTTTTGTAATTTAATTCTCTTCACACTAAATATTATTTTTATTTACTTTTAAAATATTAACACACTCACACAATTTTCACACAAAGAAAGATAAATTTTTAACAGCAGAAAATAGAGAGGATAATGGAGTCTCGGATAATGAGAGTAAGTATGAGATGGAATGGATATAACAGGTCTGTTCAAGAAAATATTCCGCTGTAAATAATTTTTTACATGATATATTTTTTTCTTGTAAAGAAATTATTAATAAATAACATATTTTATTTTGAGTGAAAGAGATTTTGATATGAAAGAGGTAAACTTTTTTAACTCTCTTAGTTTTTACGAATCAAATTTTATACAAAATAAAAAGAGTATATTACATGTTAGATATACACACATGCGCAGGTAATTTGCATTACTTTTGTATAATGCTATTATATGCATGCAATTATGCATTAATTTTCTGTTAAGTAAAGAGAATAGATTTTTGTTTTGTAGAATAAATTAGAAATGAGTAATAATTAACATCAAAGTATATCTAAATAAGAAGTAGTTAAACTCGTTCTATTCCATTAGTTTTCGTTTACATTTTACTCCAAAATTCTCAAAATAAAATTAAATTAAAAATAATAAGAAAAATATTTTTTTTTCATTTCACAGAAGTTGGGTAACAAAATTCGAATGTATCAAAGCAATAGATATGAGTTTAAATCTCATGTATTGTTGTGTTGCATATATGTACGTATGTACACATGCATTTATGTATGTGCATTCATAGGAAATAATGTGTTTAAATTTACGAAGACAAAATTGAAATAAAAATAAAAAATCCATAATATATTGACAACATTATTAATTGACAACATTATTAATTACAAATTTAATTTTTTTTTTTCAATATTATTTGACTTTTTAAAATTTACTTTTATTATTTTTTAAAATGATATTATTTACATTATAATTACTTTTTTTATTTAAACACTCAATTCTTTTTTTAAATCGCTTTGCTTTTATAATATGGATACGCCAGTTTTGCTACCTTGTACTGAAATAAATTAAGAAAAAAATAAATAAGAAAAAAAATTAGAATTTGAAAATAACAATTATTATAATCACGGCTAACAAAAATACGGGCCTGGACCTTAAGAGAGAGTGACAGTTTACAGCTGACGAATTTCACACCCATCTATATAATATATTATGTATATAAGAGTACATTATAGGAATTTGCGCGAATTTACACGTATTCTTATGGGATCTATCGAAGGCCCTTTTAAACATCTTAAATCTCCCACAAGATCAACTTTTTTTCAAAATTTTAATTAGAAAAGGTTAAAATTCAATCGTAAAGTTTTGTGTTATTAAAACATTAAAAAATTCATTTAAAAAAAAAAACCTTCCAAGCTCAGTTCACTTTTTTAAAATTTCAATAAATGCTACACTACAAGAAAAAACATAGTGTACAGCACTCTTTGCAAAGTTAAGTTAAACTTAATAAAGTTAAATTGATTTTTGCGCATTTTTTAAAATTTGAGAAAATCTAAATTTGATATTAACAAGTTTGCTAATTATATATGAAATGTCTCTCACAATGCATACTGCTAGTTTTAGGGTTGATTATTTGATCGATTTGCAACGATTTGAAATTATATGGATGGGGTTGGATGGGCAGCTATACTAGTTATCGCAGATACACTGGTTTTGGGAGAATTTAGATATAATGTTGAAAATGCTTATAACTTCGGAACCACACAACTTTAAGTTATAATTGAGAGCTTGTTTTACAAACGATTGATTGTTCTTTATTTTGGCCTTGCAATTAATATAATTTGAGCCATTGTTTCCGTGACACACCTTGTTAAAGTCAAAATTTTTGTTTTTTTAATTTTTTTAACAAAACCCAAAATTTCTCGAAAATATTTGTAACTTTTTCAATGCGCTACAATAAGAACTAAAAGTTAACCCATATAACATTTTCCTCTATCTCTCATAGTTTTTCCAGTAAATCGTGTTACACGTATTTAAAAACATGCGAAAAATGCACGTGCTTATGAAGAAAAGGAACTGGACAAGCATATTTTTTTCAACAGGCTGTAGCTCGAATACTCGAAAACGAGTAAATCTGCACCGCAAATCATCCCTAATTGGGGATGATAAAAAAGCATCCCTAAAATTATTTGCCACCCTCTGTATACTAAAATAATAAAAATTTGCCAATAATTTTTACAATTCATTTATTAGAGAAATTTTGTATGTTGTCTATTTAACATTTATTTTAATTTTCTTTATTTATATAACATTATTTTATTATAATTCTATAACTATGTTACCAAATAAAAAAAAATCAATTGTCAATTGTTGATACTATTAATGAACAATGTTTACAATTAAAAATGTGTATTTCGGTTTTTAATGTTTCAATTTGTTTTAACAAGTTAATGTTATATTCTCGCACTCTTTCAACTAATTTAAGTTTTCTAGTACTTGAATCATTTAGAATTTTATTGTTTTGAACAATCGATTCTATTGCATCTGCACCTATATATCAGATATGAAACATTCAATAAAATAAGAAGAAATGTATTATAAAAAGGCTTAAAATTTAAAAAAATTTTGTAATTTAGAAAACTTATTAAGAAACCGATTAAAATAGAATCAAAATTTGCTTTTATAACGGCCCCTATTGCTGCAAACTCCTCACTTATTATAAGCCTAAATTGAGAAAAAATTTTAATCGAAACAATGAAAGGCCGCCAAGTGATAACGACTACAATATGATAGCAATAAGAGCACGGAATAAGAGCGAATATTTCAAAATAAAAGTAATGAAATTACGGTTCTGTAAAAAAATATTAAAATAATTATGTCTGTAATTGTTTTAATATTTTTTTAAAATTTATAAAAACGTATGTATGTATGCTTCTAAATTACTCTTTTCTATTTCTAAATTACTCTTTTCACTCACATATTTTCACTCTTTCTAATATTTGAGAACATTTCTCTTTCTTAGAAACATACTCTTCCTTATAAAAATCATTTTCTTTTTTAAGTTTTTTACAATTTTCGCAATCAACATTTTTTTCTTCTTCATGTGATCGTCTTCTTTTTCGTTTCCCTCCGTTACTAGAACCTTTAAATTTAAAATATTTTAATACAATTTAATATTTTAATTTCAAAAATGCAGTAATACTGCTTTGCTGAGTTGTAAATGTCAAATACTATATTACTGCAATTTTGAAGTGAGATGACCAACAAATATAACTTAAGAATAAGTTCTTTTTTCAAACTTTGTACCTGTTATATTTTGCTGTATTGTATTTGCTGTGGATTTTTCTCCCTTATTTTGTTGTGGCGAATATACTTTTTGAGAACCCTCATTGTGCTTGCCAAAAGTTTCCACTTTTTCTGAAAATTCATAAATTTGTAATCATAAAAATTTTTAATCTCTTTATAATTCACTGATTCAATATTTCCTTACCTCCTTCTGGTAAATTTGGTTTTTCTTCTATTTCGTCTTTGACTGAGATTAGGGGATCTTGCATTTGAAAAAGAAAAATTGATTCAACTCATTTCTTCTAATTTTTCTTTCTTACCTATTTCAATTGCTACTAAGGGATTATTAACGTTTACTAGACACTCATTTGTTTGAAAAGGATCATCTAAACTTTCTATTTCGATTTTTATTGCTAAATCTTGTGTTGGTTCACAAGCCTTCAAATCACCCACTTATGTTGAATTAAAATTATTTTTTATTATAATTATATTAAAATCTTTGTTAATTTCTGTTACTGTTCATTTACCTGGAAAAGTTGTTGGTAAATTTAAATTTTCTTCTATTCTATAGGGGGTTGCTTCAATTTCTTCTTTGATTGGAATCAATGGATCTGCATGAATTTGACAACAAAGAAAATTTTTAACACAATTATGTAATTACTATTAACAATTAATATTAATTTCATTTATGTATATTTCAGACCTATTTCAATCTTTTTTGAACCTTCCTCAATGTCAAATGAATACTCGTTCTTTTTCAGAATTTCATTAGTGTTTTCAGCTTGAATTTTCGAGATTTGTGTGCTACAACTATTTGCTGTTTGAAAGGATTCTGGCTCTTTTTTTACTTCTTGTAGAATCTTTGAATCTGTGTGAAAAACAAAAATTTTTCTAAACATATTTTATTTTAGTTAATGTGAGTGCATGTACACACACACATATACATACATATAATCGTAATAAAATATGAAATTATGAAATTAATAGAAATAGTATATCTATGTATGTATAAAATACTAAGCATATTACCAAATACATTTTGTTGTGCACTACATTTTGTGTTTAAAACTTCGATAGGAACTACATCTATTAACTTCTTCCCTGTTTTCCTGAGCGAATTCTTCGGAAAATGTATTTCACATACACGATAGCCACTCGAAATATTTTTGCCAATTAAATCACATCTATTTAACTTTCTCAACCAGGTTACTCTCCTAAAAACCGAATACAGATGTATTACAAGCATAAACGAAAATTTAATGTTAAAACTTCTATAACAACTTGAAATGACTATGTTTTAAAATTTACAAAAATGCGTACCTCTCCTTACATTGTGGCAAAATTTGAAATTTTCGTTTGGGCTTTTCCGTCTCATTCACAAAATTACAAGCCAAGCACTAGAAAAAACATTTTTTCTTAAAATTTATTAAAAATTATTTTTATTTTATACATCTATTTAATTTTTTTAGGGCTTAGATTTTATAATTTGGATATATGTACCTTTTTGCATTGTAACAAAACAGGTAGACATCCATTTCGTACTATTTCCCTCTCCCAAAAATTCGTATGTGTATAAAATTTTTTGTGTACAAATATTGCTAAGTGATTGCATTATTGTGATGTAAACGCAGAATCGAATTACTTGTAAAATAGATATGCTTTCTGTAAAAACTAAAGAATAACTTGACTAGAGTAGCAGTTCGACTTTTCGTTTACATATCGCTTACAAAGCGCACAAAACCATTTCTGTAATTTATTTCAGTACAAGGTGGCAAAAATGTTGTATGCATATTATAAAAACAAAGCGATTTCAAAAAAATTAAGTCTTTAAATAAAAAAAAAATAATAGTTTTAAAAAACAATAAAAATAAATATTAAAAGGACAAGTAATATTAAAAAAATTTAAATTTGTAATTGGTAATTGTCAATGCATTTATTGATAAAATATAAATTATGAATTTTTTATTTTTATTTTAACATTGTCTTAAAAAATTTTAGAAATTTAAAACGAATATTTCCTATGAATATACATCTGTGCTATGCGTATATATTTTTTCTTTATCAATTCCTTTATTTCTATACCTCAAACTCAAACTTCGTCTTTATTCTGTCATTTAAAAGCCCAAAAACGACGTTTCAAATCACTAAATTTCCAATCAGTATTAACATTTCAAATTAAGTAGGCAAAATTTTTTATTAACTAGAGTGAAACCGGCTTTAATTCGAGTAACGTTTATATAGACATAAAATAAATTCTACTTTTAAAATTAGAGACTTTTTGTTAATCATTGTTTACAATATAAAATACAACATAGTCGTTTTCATTATAAGTACACATTAAAATGTTTTAAAATAATCGCACTAATTTTTGTTTTATAATTAATTTCAATATCGTTAAAAGTTTCAATACGCTTACAAAAACTTCTTCGTTTTCCATTTTTTTTTCTTCATTCCTTTGTTGTTCCGTTTTTTTTTTCAAAGCCATTTCTTTTGGATGCGGACGTCCCGGGAAAATGGAAGGTATTGCGCCGTTAAACAATTTTGATCTCACCAAATCATACCCAGTTTTTTCATTTTGTATCATTAATTTATCTTGAACGTCTTCCGGTCGAAAATGTTGAAGGCATATCGCTGAATACTTGCTTGGTGTCCAATTCTTTCTTCCTAATGCTTGTATCCATTTATCCCTGATGACTTCGTTTTTCGGAAAAATAAATGTAGGCATAGAATATGGTAATGTATAGCTTCTGCATCCTTCAACACAACACCTTCGTGGCATTTCTATTTATAAAACGTAATCATTATTTTTTATTTAAATATGTATGCATACAATAAAAACTTTAAAAAATACACCAAATCTTACCAAATTTATTAAGTTCTTTTTAAATAAACTTTGGTATTATTTTTTTAAAGGCACCTTTGTTTTATACTGAATATTGCGAACGAAAGAAAAAAAATTTAATTAATACAAATTCTAAATCTTCATTTTTTCAATAATACAGATAATAATTCTAATTATTTCTAATAATTTAATTATTCACTAAATTTAAATTAAAATTCAATTTTAAACAACGAATAATTTCATTATTTTACCGCTGAGTTAAAAACATCCCCGAACGAAATTTGTATCTGGACTAAAGATATTCAATAGTCTCTTTCTTTCTAATAACTTATGCTCTACACTCAAATGCAAAAATATTGTACGTTACGGAAGTTTACTATACATATGTACATATACACATACATATGTACAATATAACATTATATGAAATTTTACACTCATAATTATTGCTTTCACACATTCGAATGAATATCAATAATACAAAAATTCCTAAGTGTGTAAAAATAAAAATAAGAAAAATACTGCTTTTTTGTATACAAATGTTGGTGAGTTATTGCATTAGTGTGATGTAAACGCAAAGTCGAATTACTTATAAAATATATATACTTTGGCGTCAGCCACCTTAATAAGTTTGCATTTGTGTGTATACAAAGTTTTTACAAATAAAAGAACTATTGAATTTCTTTAGTACAGATATTAATTTCGTAAGGGGAGGATGTATTGCTCAGCGGTAAATTCATTTTATTTGTTGTTTATAATTTAATTTTAATATTAATTTAGTGAATAATTATATTTATTATTTGTGTTATTAAAAAAATTAAGATTTAGAATTTGTATTAATTAAATTTTTTATTTTGTTAGTAATATTTCGTATAAAACAAAGGTGTTTTTTAATAAAAATAATACCAAACTTTACTTAAAAAGAACTTAATAAATTGGTAAGATTTTTTTGTATTTTTTTTAAGTTTTTATTGTATGCATACATTTTTAAATAAAAAATAATGATTACGTTTATACAAACAGAAATGGCCCCAAGGTGTTGCGTCACAGGATGCAAAAGCAATAGTCTACCAAGAAGGAAGTGCGGAAATATTATCCCTTCATTTACTTTTCCAAAAGACGAAGTCATTCGAAATAAATGGATAGAAGCATTAGGAAAAAAGGATTGGGCACCAAAAAAGTATTCAACGATATGCATTCGACATTTTCGGCCGGAAGACGTACAACATAATTTAATGCTACAAAATGAAGAAACTCAGCCTGATTTGGCGAGATCAAAATTGCTTAACGGCGCAGTACCTTCCAGGTTATTGAGACGGCCGGTTAAAAAAGAAATGGAAGAAGAAGAAATGATAAACCAAAAAATTTTTGTAAGCGATATTAAAAATCATTAACAAACAAAAATTAGTGCGAATATTTTAAAACATTTCAATGTGTATAATGAAAACGACTATGTTGTGTTTTATATTGTAAATAATGATAAACAAACAGGGTGTAGTTCTAAAAGTAGAAAAGGGAATAAAATTTAAGTGTTAATAAATTTGTAAAAGAAACTTTAGTTCCTATAAAAGACTTAGAATGGATTGTTCCAAAAACCTTAAAATTAACGTTATGGTGTCAATTAGAAAATTTGTTGATTCGATAAAAAAATTTTCAAACGTCAGATTTGTCGCAAGATTTTAATGATCTTTTAGAAAACTCTTTGCGCATTCTTTACCTTTGAATATAATAAGATCCCAAATTACCGTGAACATTTCTAATTCATTTAAAAATACCGAATGTAAGAACATGTACAGTTCTCCCCGGTTAATTGAACCGAGAAAAGTTGCACACTTTTTGTATCAATTAAGCGGGTAAATCAATTAAAAAAATCCCGTTTAATTGAACAATTGGTGCAATAAAACGAATTTTTTTAACTGAATCATTTACGCATGAAAACGAATACTCGCTATTGAAGATCAGGCGCAAAAACGAATTTGATCCTGCTACTGCATAAAATTAATAAAAACAATAGGAAGCATATCCTATTACATATACTTATCAAAATATCCTAGGTAAAAAGCTATATTTAAAATAGGGGATACACTAATGAAATACTAAAACTCAAATTTTTTTTTATTTCAAAATTTAAAAACTTAAATTTTTCTTTATTTCAAAATTTTAAAACTTAAATTTTTCATCATTTTAAATCCATCTAAGTAATGTAACTGTGAATTCAAATTCAAAATATGTAAACCATAATATTTTTATATCACATAACATAACAAAAATTAAAAATAAATATTTCATATTACAAAGAAAACAAAATATTTCATACGTTATATCTAATTTTTCAATAAATTTACTATTGCTAGTTTAACAACAACAAATAGAATAAACAGGTCAATAAACAGGGGAATTTTTCACGGTTTTTATAAGGTAATACCAAAAAAAGAGATTCATTTAAGCGAGTTGTTCAATTAAACGGGATTCAATTAAACGATGTTATTCATGTATATTTTAATAGGGATTTAAAGTTGCCTTAGTTTTTCGTTCAATAAAAGGGGAAAATCAATTAAGCGTGGTGCATTTAACCGGGGAGAACTGTATATGTATATATTTCTCAATAAGAAGTATGATGAATGATACTCAAGCCGGTTTCACTCAAGTCAATCAAAAATTTTGCCTACTTGATTTAAAATGTTGATCTACTACTGGCGAAAAAAATGACCTACTTGAATAGTGATTTGAAATTTAATAGCTAAACGTCGTTTTTGGGGTTTTGAATGAAATAAAAAAAACGAAGTTTGAGTTTGAGGTATAGAAATAAAGGAATTGATAAAGAAAAAATATATACGCATAGCACAGATGTATATTCATAGGAAATATTCGTTTTAAATTTCTAAAATTTTTTAAGACAATGTTAAAATAAAAATAAAAAATTCATAATTTATATTTTATCAATAAATGCATTGACAATTACCAATTACAAATTTAAATTTTTTTAATATTACTTGTCCTTTTAATATTTATTTTTATTGTTTTTTAAAACTATTATTTTTTTTTTATTTAAAGACTTAATTTTTTTGAAATCGCTTTGTTTTTATAATATGCATACAACATTTTTGCCACCTTGTACTGAAATAAATTACGGAAATGGTTTTGTGCGCTTTGTAAGCGATATGTAAACGAAAAGTCGAACTGCTACTCTAGTCAAGTTATTCTTTAGTTTTTACAGAAAGCATATCTATTTTACAAGTAATTCGATTTTGCGTTTACATCACAATATAGCAATCACTTAACAATATTTGCACAAAATAAATTCTCCTAGCTAAAAGAGTTAAGCAGTATACCTCGTTTTTTTAAATTTTATGCACATACGAATTTTTGGGAGAGGGAAATAGTAGGAAATAGATGTCTTTAGGGAAATAGTAGGAAATAGATCTGTTTTTTACTGTGTACTTTTAAGGCGCACAAAGCCATTTCTATAATTTATTTCAGTACAAGATGGCAAAAACGTAAATCCATAATATAAAATCGAATTGTTAAACAATATTAAATAGATGTGAAAAATAAAAAATATTTTATAATAATAAGTAAACATTATTTCAAGTGCTTGGCTTGTAATTTTGTGACTGAGCCAAAAAATTCGACACGAAAATTTTTTTCTTTGCCAAGAATTAGGGAGAGGTACGTATTTTTGTAAATTTTTTAAAAAATCATTTCAAATTGTTTTTGAAATCTACGCATTCAATTTCTTATATTAGATCTGTATTCGGTTTTTAGGAGAAAAATTTGGTTGGAAAAGTTAGATCGATGTGATTTAATTGGCAAAAATATTTCGCGTGACAATCGTGTATGTGAAATACATTTTTTGGAGAATTCGATCGATAAAAGAGGACACATATCAAAAGATGTAGATCCTATTGAAGTAGTAAAGAATAATACTCTTTTTGAAGAAAAAATAGACGATAAGATCTTGAACGGTTCACAACAAAATATTGTTGGTAATATGCTTAGAATTTTATACTTGCACAGATATACTATTACAAATAAATTCATAATTTCATATTTTATTACGGTTATATATATATGTATGTATATAATCATAAAAATATGAAACGCTGATATATGAGTACTCAATATATGTGTTTGTGCATGTTCACACATTTACTCTAATAAAATATTTTTAGAAAAATATTTGTTTTTCACACAGATTCAAAGATTCTACAAGAAGTGGAAAAAGATCCAGAATTCTCTCACACAGATTCAAAGATTTTACAAGAAGTGGAAAAAGATCCAGAATCCTCGCAAACAGTAAGTAGTGGTAGCACAAAAATATCGAAAATTCCAGAGGAAAAAAATAATGCAATTCTAATAAAGAACGAGTGCTTACTTGACATTGAGGAAGATTCAAATGAGAGTGAAATAGGTCTGAAATAAACATAAATGAAATTAATAATAATAGTTGATATTAATTACATAATTGTATGAAAAATTATTTTAATATAAAATAATTTATTTTGCTATCAAATACAGATCTATTGATTCCAATTAAAGAGGAAATTGAAGCAACCCCCTATAGAATAGAAGAAAATTTAAATTTACCAACAACTTTCCCAGGTAAATTAGCAGTAACAGGAATAAAAAAGATTTTAATATACAAAAAATCATTTTAATTCATTAGAAGTGGCTGCTTTAAAGACTTGTGGACAAAAACAGGATTTGCCAGTAAAAATCATGATAAAAAGTATAGATGATTCTTTTCAAACAAATGCATGTGTAGTGAAAATTTGTAAAACTAAAGAAGCAAATAAAAAAGGTATGAAAAAAAAGTTTGAAAAAATAAGTTAAATCAATTTTCTTTTTCACATCCAAGTTCCACTTATATCAGCCAAAGAAAAAGTACAAGAAAACTCAAATTTACCAGAGGGAAGTAAGGCAATATTGAATCAGTAAATTATAAAGAGATCGAAAATTTTTATAATTACAAATTTATAAATTTTCAGAAAATGTAGAAACTTCTAGCATGCACGATGATGCTTCTCAAAAAGTAGATTCCGTGCAAAATAAAAAAGGAAAATCCACAGTAAATAAAATACAACGAAATTTGACAGGTAGAAAGTGTAAAAAAAGAACATATTCTTAAGTTATATTTGTTAGTCATCTCACTTCAAAATTGCAGTAATAAAGTATTAAGGTGTGATTCAGTCTATTTGCTGAATTTGACATTTACAATTCAGCAAAGCAGTATTACTGCATTTTTGAAATTTTTAAAATATTGAATTGTAATAAAATATTTTAAATTTAAAGGTTCTAGAAACGGAGAGAGACGGAAAAGAAAACGATCACATGAAGAAGAAAAAAATGTTGATTGCGAAAATTGTGGAAAACTTTTAAAAGAATGTTCTCAAATTTTAGAAAAAGTGAAGATATGTAAGTAAAAAGAGTAAATTAAAAATTAAAAACTTTGAAATTGGCTAGGTGAAAGGCAAAAAATTTTGATTATTGATCACGTTATATGTAGAAATTATAATATGATTCTAATTTTTCATAATTACTTTAAATTTATTTTAACATTTTTTTACAGAAGCGTAATTTCATTGTTTTTATTTTAAAAATATTCGCTTTTATTCCGTGCTCTTATTGCTGCCATATTGCAGTCGTTGGTTTTTTCTATTAAAATTGTTTTTCAATTTGCGCTTATTAATAAGTGAGGAGTTTGCAGCTATAGGGGCCGTTATAAAAGCAAGCGTTTTTATAATACACTACATGATTTTGTCTTATTTTATTGAAAGTTTCATATCTGATATATAGGTGCAGATACAATAGAATCGATAGTCCAAAGCAATAAAATTCTAAATGATTCAAGTATTGGAAAAATTGAGTTAGTTGAAAAAGTGAAGGAAAATAACATTAACTTGTTCAAACAAATTAAAACATTAAAAACAGAAATAGACGTTTTTAATTTTACACATTGTTCATTAAATGTATCAACAAATGACAATTGAATTTTTTTTGACTTGGTAACACTGTTATAGAATTATAATAAAATAATGTTATACTACATAAAGAAAATTAAAATAAATGTTAAGCATACAACATAAAAATTTTTTCTAATAAATGAATTGTAAAAATTACTTGCAAATTTTTATTAATTTAGTATTAATCCAATAATAAATGTTTTTTCCGATACATTTATTATTTTCCTTTCAAATTCTACATACAAACATATGGATGCCATAAGAACTCTCCCTACTGTAGGAATAGGTATATGAACAAGGCAATAAATAAATTTTGAGCAAATTTATAAAAATAATAAAAAAGTGAGAAAAGAATATTAAGAATTGAGTTAACAGAACACTTAATGACTTAACAGAGAACATTTTGTTTATGTGTTGTTAATTCTAATCATAAACAATTTAAATAATAATTTACAATTATTGTTAATTTTAAATCAAAGTACTAATATATATTTTATAAGTAATTCTACTATGTGTGTAGACTGACCAACCCAATAAATTCCCTTACCTAAAAGCAAAGTATATCTACTCAAGAAGTAGTTCCACTACTCGTTTACATTGCGCTAATACAATCACTCACCAATTTTTGTATACAAAAAACTCCCTTAGGTAAAAGAGTTAAGCAGTACACCATACCGTCTTATTATAATTTTTATACACATATGAATTTTTGGGGGAGGGAAAGAGTACGCAATAAATGGCTACATGTTTTGTACAATGCATTTTTAATGGCACCCAAGAGAGTTTTTTCTGTATATGTATAAAGTATAGGAAAATATAAAGCATTTAAAAGGCCTACAAGAGCATTTCTGTAATCCCTTCCAGAACAAGGTAGCAAAAATGGTGTACGCAATTATAAAAGCAAAGCGATTTTAAAAGAGAATTGAGTGTTTCTAAAAAAAGTTATATAAAGAATAAAGATGCTTGTGTATTTGCAGAAGTAGCTACATGTACACATATGCAATGTAAAATCTGCGTGCATATGCATACCTTCTCCGTGAGCTAAAATGTGAATAATCGAATACATACACACATTCCAAAATAAAACAAAAAAACAGAAGCAAAAAAAAATCATTACGAAACGAGAACAGAAAGAGAGTGAGAATAATAAAATAAACACTTAATGCTAGAAATCAAAGTATTTCTATTAATAAGTAGTTCAACTCGTTCCATTCTGTTAGTTTTCTTTTGCATTTTGCTTCTCAATTCTTAAAAAATTCCATTTTTCTTTAAAAGATGGTTAATGTCTTTATATCTAACAAGTCTCAATGCTCAGAGAGAAACTTAAAAGCACGACCTTATTTTATATAGGTTTTTTTCAAATTGAAGAAGCTATTTTTTTGAGAAGAAATATTAAAAAAAATTCACATTTATTATAAAGCAGGTAAAATTTCGAAAATATATTTAAAAAATCAATTAAATATATTAACATTTTCAATCATAATTATTTTAAAATTCTTGAAATACATACAAAAAAGCGGAAAAACAAGAAGCACAACCTTCGCCTTCAACATTTTATATGTTACTGACAGCATTTCATTATTTTTAAGTGAACAGCTTTTTTTCTCATAGGGTAAGTTAACTCAAGATATGGGAAGTAACTTTTGTGTCAAGTTGAAAATATAATTAATGAAAGATAATTATTAAATATTGATATAAATACATAGTAAATAAAATAATATCTAAAATACAATCAAATATTATTTTTCCAATACAAATTTTATATATACTTCTAAATTTTACCTCTATTTTTATTTGAGAAAAATTTTTATTAACTTAATATATTACCTAAGTAAAAAAATATTTAAAAGGTGTTTTTTATTTTTGAAATAAATTGTATCTTAGCAAATGACTCAAAAACTCCGATTGTAAAATGACAGGTAGTAGGTACTGATGTAAATTTTTGTCCGTTTGTGTTTACTATTAAGATTCATAAACAGAAAGTTTATAAATAGATTGCTCTTGTTTATCTGCTAATAATATATGAAAGAAGAGAACAACAAAATTTTTGAATCACTCAATATAACATGTTTGAAATAGTTTTAAAATAATTATTCAAAAAAAATTGATTGGAAGTAGGTACATACATATTTATTCTTAATAACTTAAAAACTGACTGAAATTATTTGAAACAATTCTATAAGTAACGCATAACTGAAATGAGATAACTTAAATTGTTAAAATGTGTCAATCTACATTACTTTTATTAACATTTTTGTTAGCCGACACTACTCAAGTTACCTTATTGGGAAATACAAAATGTGCATGAAAAATCATACAACCTTCCTCATTAACATTTGAAACCATGCTGAAATATGAATTTGAAATTTTTTATCATTTTTTCTTTCCTCCTACCTTTCTTTATTTTTCGTGCAATAGAATTTAAATGGGAAGCTTTTTAAAAAATGTGTATAATATCCTGAGATTTTTTAAAATATTAAACTCTTTTTTACGTAAAAAAAAAGAAAAAAATAATAAGAAATATGACACGATCAATAGCATTTAAAGAAAAAAACAGAAACGAAGCCAAAAATTCGTAATATTTCGTAAAAAAAATTGAGTATTGAGACTTGTTAGATGTAAAGACATTTAACTGAAATAAAATTAAATTATGTTAGGTAAAAATTTTGTTATTTTTATTTAGATAACAAAATTGTTTTTTTTTCAAATTTTATTTTTTATTTCATAAAAGTTAAAAAAACATTCGAATGTATGAAAGCCATAAATATGAGTTTAAAATCTCAAGTATGTTGGGTTGCATTATGTATGTATGTATGCAAACATGCATGTACATGGTACAGTAGATAGATCAGGTAGTGATATAAAAATAGAGCAGTTTATAAAGGAAAAATGTTAATTTACTGTATATAAAGATGCTTGCGAATAAAGTGACCTTACTTATACTTTGACAACAATCATGGCTGACAAAAATACGGGCCTGGACCTTAAGAGAGAGTGACAGTTTCAGCTGACGAATTTCACATCCATCTACATATATATATTATGTATATAAGAGTACATTATAGGAATTTACGCGAATTTACACCTATTCGTATGGGATCTATCGAAGGCCCTTTTAAACATCTTAAATCTCCCACAAGATCAACTTTTTTTCAAAATTTTAATTAGAAAAGGTTAAAATTCAATCTTAAAGTTAATGTTGAAAATTCTTATAACTTCGGAACCACACAACTTTAAGTTATAATTGAGAGCTTGTTTTACAAACGATTGATTGTTCTTTATTTTGGCCTTGCAATTAATATAATTTGAGCCATTGTTTCCGTGACACACCTTGTTAAAGTCAAAATTTTTGTTTTTTTAATTTTTTTAACAAAACCCAAAATTTCTCGAAAATATTTGTAACTTTTTCAATGCGCTACAATAAGAACTAAAAGTTAACCCATATAACATTTTCCTCTATCTCTCATAGTTTTTCCAGTAAATCGTGTTACACGTATTTAAAAACATGCGAAAAATGCACGTGCTTATGAAGAAAAGGAACTGGACAAGCATATTTTTTTCAACAGGCTGTAGCTCGAATACTCGAAAACGAGTAAATCTGCACCGCAAATCATCCCTAATTGGGGATGATAAAAAAGCATCCCTAAAATTATTTGCCACCCTCTGTATACTAAAATAATAAAAATTTGCCAATAATTTTTACAATTCATTTATTAGAGAAATTTTGTATGTTGTCTATTTAACATTTATTTTAATTTTCTTTATTTATATAACATTATTTTACTATAATTCTATAACTATGTTACCAAATTAAAAAAAATTAATTGTCAATTGTTGATACTATTAATGAACAATGTTTACAATTAAAAATGTGTATTTCGGTTTTTAATGTTTCAATTTGTTTTAACAAGTTAATGTTATATTCTCGCACTCTTTCAACTAATTTAAGTTTTCTAGTACTTAAATCATTTAGAATTTTATTGTTTTGAACAATCGATTCTATTGCATCTGCACCTATATATCAGATATGAAACATTCAATAAAATAAGAAGAAATGTATTATAAAAAGGCTTAAAATTTAAAAAAATTTTGTAATTTAGAAAACTTATTAAAAGACCGATTAAAATAAAATCAAAATTTGCTTTTATAACGGCTCCTATTGCTGCAAACTCCTCACTTATTATAAGCCTAAATTGAGAAAAAATTTTAATCGAAACAATAAAAGGCCGCCAAGTGATAACGACTACAATATGATAGCAATAAGAGCACGGAATAAGAGCGAATATTTCAAAATAAAAGTAATGAAATTACGGTTCTGTAAAAAAATATTAAAATAATTATGTCTGTAATTGTTTTAATATTTTTTTAAAATTAATAAAAATGTATGTATGTGTGCTTCTAAATCACTCTTTTCTATTTCTAAATTACTCTTTTCACTCACATATTTTCACTCTTTCTAATATTTGAGAACATTTCTCTTTCTTAGAAACATACTCTTCCTTATAAAAATCATTTTCTTTTTTAAGTTTTTTACAATTTTCGCAATCAACATTTTTTTCTTCTTCATGTGATCGTCTTCTTTTTCGTTTCCCTCCGTTACTAGAAGCTTTAAATTTAAAATATTTTAAACAATTTAATATTTTAATTTCAAAAATGCAGTAATACTGCTTTGCTGAGTTGTAAATGTCAAATACTATATTACTGCAATTTTGAAGTGAGATGACCAACAAATATAACTTAAGAATAAGTTCTTTTTTCAAACTTTGTACCTGTTATATTTTGCTGTATTGTATTTGCTGTGGATTTTTCTCCCTTATTTTGTTGTGGCGAATATACTTTTTGAGAACCCTCATTGTGCTTGCTAGAAGTTTCCACATTTTCTGCAAATTTATAAATTTGTAATCATAAAAATTTTTAATCTCTTTACAATTCACTGATTCAATATTTCCTTACCTCCTTCTGGTAAATTTGGTTTTTCTTCTATTTCGTCTTTGACTGAGATTAGGGGATCTTGCATTTGAAAAAGAAAAATTGATTCAACTCATTTCTTCTATTTTTTCTTTCTTACCTATTTCATTTGCTACTATGGGATTATTAACGTTTACTAGACACTCATTTGTTTGAAAAAGATCATCTAAACTTTCTATTTCGATTTTTATTGCTAAATCTTGTGTTGGTTCACAAGCCTTCAAATCACCCACTTATGTTGAATTAAAATTATTTTTTATTATAATTATATTAAAATCTTTGTTAATTTCTGTTACTGTTCATTTACCTGGAAAAGTTGTTGGTAAATTTAAATTTTCTTCTATTCTATAGGGGGTTGCTTCAATTTCTTCTTTGATTGGAATCAATGGATCTGCATGAATTTGACAACAAAGGAAATTTTTAACACAATTATGTAATTACTATTAACAACTAATATTAATTTCATTTATGTATATTTCAGACCTGTTTCAATCTTTTTTGAACCTTCCTCAATGTCAAATGAATACTCGTTCTTTTTCAGAATTTCATTAGTGTTTTCAGCTTGAATTTTCGAGATTTGTGTGTTACAACTATTTGCTGTTTGAAAGGATTCTGGCTCTTTTTTTACTTCTTGTAGAATCTTTGAATCTGTGTGAAAAACAAAAATTTTTCTAAACATATTTTATTTGAGTAAATATGTGTGCCTTTACACACTCACACACACACATATACATACATACATATAATCGTAATAAAATATGAAATTATGAAATTAATAGAAATAGTATATCTATGTATGTATAAAATACTAAGCATATTACCAAATACATTTTGTTGTGCACTACATTTTGTGTTTAAAACTTCGATAGGAACTACATCTATTAACTTCTTCCCTGTTTTCCTGAGCGAATTCTTCGGAAAATGTATTTCACATACACGATAGCCACTCGAAATATTTTTGCCAATTAAATCACATCTATTTAACTTTCTCAACCAGGTTACTCTCCTAAAAACCGAATACAGATGTAATACAAGCATAAACGAAAATTTAATGTTAAAACTTCTATAACAACTTGAAATGATTATGTTTTAAAATTTACAAAAATGCGTACCTCTCCTTACATTGTGGCAAAATTTGAAATTTTCGTTTGGGCTTTTCCGTCTCATTCACAAAATTACAAGCCAAGCACTAGAAAAAACATTTTTTCTTAAAATTTATTAAAAATTATTTTTATTTTATACATCTATTTAATTTTTTTAGGGCTTAGATTTTATAATTTGGATATATGTACCTTTTTGCATTGTAACAAAACAGGTAGACATCCATTTCGTACTATTTCCCTCTCCCAAAAATTCGTATGTGTATAAAATTTTTTGTGTACAAATATTGCTAAGTGATTGCATTATTGTGATGTAAACGCAGAATCGAATTACTTGTAAAATAGATATGCTTTCTGTAAAAACTAAAGAATAACTTGACTAGAGTAGCAGTTCGACTTTTCGTTTACATATCGCTTACAAAGCGCACAAAACCATTTCTGTAATTTATTTCAGTACAAGGTGGCAAAAATGTTGTATGCATATTATAAAAACAAAGCGATTTCAAAAAAATTAAGTCTTTAAATAAAAAAAAAATAATAGTTTTAAAAAACAATAAAAATAAATATTAAAAGGACAAGTAATATTAAAAAAATTTAAATTTGTAATTGGTAATTGTCAATGCATTTGTTGATAAAATATAAATTATGAATTTTTTATTTTTATTTTAACATTGTCTTAAAAAATTTTAGAAATTTAAAACGAATATTTCCTATGAATATACATCTGTGCTATGCGTATATATTTTTTCTTTATCAATTCCTTTATTTCTATACCTCAAACTCAAACTTCGTTTTTATTCTGTCATTTAAAAGCCCAAAAACGACGTTTCAAATCACTAAATTTCCAATCAATATTAACATTTCAAATTAAGTAGGCAAAATTTTTTATTAACTAGAGTGAAACCGGCTTTAATTCGAGTAACGTTTATATAGACATAAAATAAATTCTACTTTTAAAATTAGAAACTTTTTGTTAGTCATTGTTTACAATATAAAATACAACATAGTCGTTTTCATTATACACATTAAAATGTTTTAAAATAATCGCATTAATTTTTGTTTTATAATTAATTTCAATAACGTTAAAAGTTTCAATACGCTTACAAAAACTTCTTCGTTTTCCATTTTTTTTTCTTCATTCCTTTGTTGTTCCGTTTTTTTTTTCAAAGCCATTTCTTTTGGATGCGGACGTCCCGGGAAAATGGAAGGTATTGCGCCGTTAAACAATTTTGATCTCACCAAATCATACCCAGTTTTTTCATTTTGTATCATTAATTTATCTTGAACGTCTTCCGGTCGAAAATGTTGAAGGCATATCGCTGAATACTTGCTTGGTGTCCAATTCTTTCTTCCTAATGCTTGTATCCATTTATCCCTGATGACTTCGTTTTTCGGAAAAATAAATGTAGGCATAGAATATGGTAATGTATAGCTTCTGCATCCTTCAACACAACACCTTCGTGGCATTTCTATTTATAAAACGTAATCATTATTTTTTATTTAAATATGTATGCATACAATAAAAACTTTAAAAAATACACCAAATCTTACCAAATTTATTAAGTTCTTTTTAAATAAACTTTGGTATTATTTTTTTAAAGGCACCTTTGTTTTATACTGAATATTGCGAACGAAAGAAAAAAAATTTAATTAATACAAATTCTAAATCTTCATTTTTTCAATAATACAGATAATAATTCTCATTATTTCTAATTATTTAATTATTCACTAAATTTAAATTAAAATTCAATTTTAAACAACGAATAATTTCATTATTTTACCGCTGAGTGAAAAACATCCCCGGACGAAATTTGTATCTGGACTAAAGATATTCAATAGTCTCTTTCTTTCTAATAACTTATGCTCTACACTCAAATGCAAAAATATTGTACGTTACGGAAGTTTACTATACATATGTACATATACACATACATATGTACAATATAACATTATATGAAATTTTACACTCATAATTATTGCTTTCACACATTCGAGTGAATATCAATAATACAAAAATTCCTAAGTGTGTAAAAATAAAAATAAGAAAAATACTGCTTTTTTGTATACAAAGTTGGTGAGTTATTGCATTAGTGTGATGTAAACGCAAAGTCGAATTACTTATAAAATATATATACTTTGGCGTCAGCCACCTTAATAATTTTGCATTTGTGTGTATACAAAGTTTTTACAAATAAAAGAACTATTGAATTTCTTTAGTACAGATATTAATTTCGTAAGTGGTGGATATATTGCCCAGCGGTAAATTCATTTTATTTGTTGTTTATAATTTAATTTTAATATTAATTTAGTGAATAATTATATTTATTATTTGTGTTATTCAAAAAATTAAGATTCAGAATCTGTATCAATTAAATTTTTTATTTTGTTAGTAATATTTCGTATAAAACAAAGGTGTTTTTTTAATAAAAATAATACCAAACTTTATTTAAAAAGAACTTAATAAATTGGTAAGATTTGGTGTATTTTTTTAAGTTTTTATTGTATGCATACATATTTAAATAAAAAATAATAATATATATGATTACGTTTATATAAATAGAAATGCCCCGAAGGTGTAGCGTACCAGGATGCAACAGCAATGCTCTACGAAGAAGGAAGTACGGAAAAACTATCTCTACCTTTATTTTTCCCAAGAACGAAGTCATGCGAAATAAATGGATAGAAGCAATAGGAATAAAGGATTGGGCACCAAAAAAGAGTTCATCGGTATGCATTCGACATTTTCGGCCGGAAGACATACAACATAAATATATGATACAAAATGAAGAAACACAGTATGATTTGCCGAAACCAAAATTGTTTAGGGGCGCAGTACCTTCCATGTTTTTGAGACGGCCGCTTCAAAAAGAAATGGAAGAAGAAGAAATGAAAAACCAAAAAATTTTTGTAAGCGATATTAAAAAATCATTAACAAACAAAAAAAGTCTGATTTGCTCAGCACATAACCGACCGAAATGTGTATTGTCTAGTTAAGTGAAAATGTTACAGAACATTATGAAAATGTCTGTTAAATTCTTCTTTCTAATTTTTAAAACATTAGTAACCTTATAGTTAACATACCTAGAAAAATGTAAATTTGGCTCTTAGTGGAATTCTGCTTTGTGCTACCAGAATTCCCTGCAATTCTCGTCAGTTAGTTTCAGTAACAATCAGAACTGAAATATCAAATTTCAAAAATTTATATATTCATTGTTTTAATACGAAGAATTTAAATATTCAATTTCAATGAAATCGGTTGATTATTTCTCTTTATATACGCAAAAATGTATATTTGGCCCATAGTAAACGTCTAGTTGCTGACACCTGATTTCTTCCAAAAGTTACGAGGTTTCGCGGACGGTCGAGCTGAGCTTATATATGAAATTTCAAGCAAATCGGTTGAATAGTTTCTTTAAAATGCTCAAAAATGTAAAACAGGTCCGCTAAAAAGTGCAGTTCCCGAAGCCTGATTTATCCCAAAAGTTGATCAATCTGTGCCATGGTCGAAATAAACTTACATATAAAATTTCATCAAAATCGGTTCAGCAGAACTTGAGATACACCCGTCCACGCACAGACCGACAGACGACAGGTTGCTAAAAATAGTTTATTTACACTTCCCTACTATGGAGAAGTGCAATCCCACGGAAAACTCGATATGTAAAATTTGTTGCCATCACATAACCTACCTATTGTATACGCAATACGGTCTGTAATTAGTGCGAATATTTTAAAACATTTCAATGTGTATAACAATGTGTGTAACGACTATGTTGTATTTTATATTGTAAATAATGATAAACAAAAAGGGTGTAGTTCTAAAAGTAGAAAAGTGATAAAATTTAAGTGTTAATAAATTTGTAAAAGAAACTTTAGTTCCTATAAAAGACTTAGAATGGATTGTTCCAAAAACCTTAAAATTAACGTTATGGTGTCAATTAGAAAATTTGTTGATTCGATAAAAAAATTTTCAAACGTCAGATTTGTCGCAAGATTTTAATGATCTTTTAGAAAACTCTTTGCGCATTCTTTACCTTTGAATATAATAAGATCCCAAATTACCGTGAGCATTTCTAATTCATTTAAAAATACCTAATGTAAGAACATGTATATGTATATATTTCTCAATAAGAAGTATGATGAATGATGATCAAGCCGGTTTCACTCAAGTCAATAGAAAATTTTACCTACTTGATTTGAAATGTTACGCATAGAACATAAATGTATGTATATTCATTAGAAATATTCGTTTTAAATTTCTAAAATTTTTTAAGACAATATTAAAATAAAAATAAAAAATTCATAATTTATATTTTATCAATAAATGCATTGACAATTACCAATTACAAATTTAAATTTTTTTAATATTACTTGTCCTTTTAATATTTATTTTTATTGTTTTTTAAAACTATTATTTTTTTTTATTTAAAGACTTAATTTTTTTTAAATCGCTTTGCTTTTATAATATGCATACAACATTTTTGCCACCTTGTACTGAAATAAATTACAGGATGCGGACGTCCCGGGAAAATGGAAGGTATTGCGCCGTTAAACAATTTTGATCTCACCAAATCATACCCAGTTTTTTCATTTTGTATCATTAATTTATCTTGAACGTCTTCCGGTCGAAAATGTTGAAGGCATATCGCTGAATACTTGCTTGGTGTCCAATTCTTTCTTCCTAATGCTAGTATCCATTTATCCCTGATGACTTCGTTTTTCGGAAAAATAAATGTAGGCATAGAATATGGTAATGTATAGCTTCTGCATCCTTCAACACAACACCTTCGTGGCATTTCTATTTATAAAACGTAATCATTATTTTTTATTTAAATATGTATGCATACAATAAAAACTTTAAAAAATACACCAAATCTTACCAAATTTATTAAGTTCTTTTTAAATAAACTTTGGTATTATTTTTTTAAAGGCACCTTTGTTTTATACTGAATAATGCGAACGAAAGAAAAAAAATTTAATTAATACAAATTCTAAATCTTCATTTTTTCAATAATACAGATAATAATTCTCATTATTTCTAATTATTTAATTATTCACTAAATTTAAATTAAAATTCAATTTTAAACAACGAATAATTTCATTATTTTACCGCTGAGTGAAAAACATCCCCGGACGAAATTTGTATCTGGACTAAAGATATTCAATAGTCTCTTTCTTTCTAATAACTTATGTTCTACACTCAAATGCAAAAATATTGTACGTTACGGAAGTTTACTATACATATGTACATATACACATACATATGTACAATATAACATTATATGAAATTCTACACTCATAATTATTGCTTTCACACATTCGAATGAATATCAATAATACAAAAATTCCTAAGCGTGGAAAAATAAAAATAAGAAAAATACGGTTTTTTGTATACAAATGTTGGTGAGTTATTGCATTAGTATGATGTAAACGCAAAGTCGAATTACTTATAAAATATATATACTTTGGCGTCAGCCACCTTAATAATTTTGCATTTGTGTGTATACAAAGTTTTTACAAATAAAAGAACTATTGAATTTCTTTAGTACAGATATTAATTTCGCAAGTGGTGGATATATTGCCCAGCGGTAAATTCATTTTATTTGTTGTTTATAATTTAATTTTAATATTAATTTAGTGAATAATTATATTTATTATTTGTGTTATTAAAAAAATTAAGATTCAGAATCTGTATCAATTAAATTTTTTATTTTGTTAGTAATATTTCGTATAAAACTAAGGTGTTTTTTTAATAAAAATAATACCAAACTTTATTTAAAAAGAACTTAATAAATTGGTAAGATTTGATGTATTTTTTTAAGTTTTTATTGTATGCATACATATTTAAATAAAAAATAATAATATATATGATTACGTTTATATAAATAGAAATGCCCCGAAGGTGTAGCGTACCAGGATGCAACAGCAATGCTCTACGAAGAAGGAAGTACGGAAAAACTATCCCTACATTTATTTTTCCCAAGAACGAAGTCATGCGAAATAAATGGATAGAAGCAATAGGAAAAAAGGATTGGGCACCAAAAAAGTGTTCATCGGTATGCATTCGACATTTTCGGTCGGAAGACATACAACATAAATTAATGATACAAAATGAAGAAACACAGTATGATTTGGCGAGATCAAAATTGCTTAACGGCGCAGTACCTTCCATGTTTTTGAGACGGCCGCTTCAAAAAGAAATGGAAGAAGAAGAAATGAAAAACCAAAAAATTTTTGTAAGCGATATTAAAAAATCATTAACAAACAAAAAAAGTCTGATGTGCTCAGCACATATCCGACCGAAATGTGTATTGTCTAGTTAAGTGAAAATGTTACAGAACCTTATGAAAATGTCTGTTAAATACTTCTTTCTAATTTTTAAAACATTAGTAACCTTATAGTTAACATACCTAGAAAAATGTAAATTTGGCTCTTAGTGGAATTCTGCTTTGTGCTACCAGAATTCCCTGCAATTCTCGTCAGTTAGTTTCGGTAACAATCAGAACTGAAATATCAAATTTCAAAAATTTATATATTCATTGTTTTAATACGAAGAATTTAAATATTCAATTTCAATGAAATCGGTTGATTATTTCTCTTTATATACGCAAAAATGTATATTTGGCCCACAGTAAACGTCTAGTTGCTGACACCTGATTTCTTCCAAAAGTTACGAGGTTTCGCGGACGGTCGAGCTGAGCTTATATATGAAATTTCAAGCAAATCGGTTGAATAGTTTCTTTAAAATGCTCAAAAATGTAAAACAGGTCCGCTAAAAAGTGCAGTTCTCGAGGCCTGATTTATCCCAAAAGTTGATCAATCTGTGCCATGGTCGAAATAAACTTACATATAAAATTTCATCAAAATCGGTTCAGCAGAATTTGAGATACACCCGTCCACACACAGACCGACAGACGACAGGTTGCTAAAAATAGTTTATTTACACTTCCCTACTATGGAGAAGTGCAATCCCACGGAAAACTCGATATGTAAAATTTGTTGCCATCACATAACCTACCTATTGTATACGCAATACGGTCTGTAATTAGTGCGAATATTTTAAAACATTTCAATGTGTATAACAATGTGTGTAACGACTATGTTGTATTATATATATATAGCTACTTCTCAGGTGGTAAAAAGTACGGGTACTTCTAGGGTCCCAGAAAAATCTGACATTGGAACTTTTTAGCTCCGAAATAGCTCTATTTTAAGATTTTCTGAAAAAATTTTTGTATAACAAAAGCACATTTTTCTTTTATACTTTTTATAATTAGAAACACAAACCAAGAAATAAATGATACGTTTTACGTTATTTTTATTATTAGAAACACAAACCGAGAAATAAATAATATTTGAAAATATAATGATTTCACATATTTTTGTTTCGGATAAACGAATTAATCTTAACGTAAATAAATGTCAGCTTTTATCAGACATCAGATGTTTTGTGACATCTGAATATTAATATTTCATTTGTTATTGTTTTGAACATTACGTTTCGTCAGCAAGCTTTAAAAAAATATATGTACATACAGAATATATGTATGTACGTATGTAGTTAGAATTTTATTTTTATTGTTCCAAACGGAAAACTATAAAATGCTAAATTTTAATACATTTATATATACATACATATATTTGAATAAAATCATTATTTTGTTTTTGCCTAAACCTTTTCTTTATTTAAAAAAATTACATTCATATGTACATATATATTTTTGAATACAATTATTATTTTATTTTAACCTAAACCTTTTCTTTATTTGAGAAATTTATTTCTATATGTTCACCCGCAGTTTTAAAAAAACTAGGTATACATTCATAATAACGTGTGTTTGTGTTAATAATTTTATTTCTAATTTTTCCAACAGCAAAATTTCAAAATTTTCGATTCTAATACATTCATATGTACATACGTTCATATGTTGGAACGAAAAATTTTGAAATCTTCAATTCTAATCCATTCATATATACATACACACATGTATTCATATATACATACATACATATATTTTTACATACATAAATTATTATTTTGTTTTTGTTTCTTTTTTAATTTTCAATTCTAATACATTCATATGTACATACGTTCATATGTTGGAACGAAAAATTTTAAAATCTTCAATTCTAATCCATTCATATATACATACACACATATATTCATATATTCATACATACATATATTTTTACATACATAAATTATTATTTTGTTTTTGACTAAACCTTTTCTTTATTTGAAAAATTAATTTTTGTATGTTTACTCCCATGATTTAATAATTATGCGTTTAAAATTTATTTCTATATATTCTACAGTTTTGAATATTATTAAATTCATATAGAAAGCTTAAAAAAAATATACATACATACATACATACTTATGTACTTAAAATTTTTGCGAATTTTTCCAAACTATTATAAGAATATTTTTTTGGAAATTTTCTTTAAACTTTTATAATAACATTTATCTGTTAAATATTAAAAAAAATAAAACACAAAATTTAAACAAAATAAAAAAAAAATTTTTAAAATAATCCAAAAAAATAAAAACACGACAACATCCAGGCAAGCATTGATCCAATAACCTTCTGACTATGAGACTACCACGCTAACCACTAGGCTACGCAGTACCTTGAATTTTCCTTTATAATTCTATATTTTATTCATATTTCGTATAACTCTTCAAAAACCATCCTATTTTACATTATATATATATAGCTACTTCTCAGGTGGTAAAAAGTACGGGTACTTCTAGAAGGGCTAGAGACATGGGACAAAGGGCATTAGATAGATCACCCCTCCCAAGATGCTTTGGTCCATTTTTTTACAAAATGGTACTACATCCTTATGGGGGTAATGTTTGTATAATTTTGATGGCATATATATTGGAAATAAGTTAAATTCTATAAGTGTGAGTTATAACAAGAAAACAAAAAATTAATAATATCTACATATAGTTTTATAGCATGTACGATTACATTCACATTTACTTATATACATATGTATTCTTTTTGCGATTTGCTACTAAGGTATAATCAATTATACTAAGGTACAATCGGAAAGTAATCGATACAGCATTGATATGCAATCATGTAAAAGACCTGTATGAAAATGTTTTAACAAAGTTTGGTGCCCAAAAATGTCAAAAATACGCATAGAAATCGTATGCAATACGTATTACCCTATATACGTTAGAATTGGTGTTAACTCATTCTACAGTCACGCGTTTTATTCGCATGTATTATAAACTTCAAATACATACGTGCATGAATTGTAGTTTATAATTAACAATAATTTATGGCTTAAAGTGTTTATTGTGAAAGGTATTTTACGATTTTATGCGACATAACTCAAAGTGAAGTTTT